CTGCACTCCAGTCTGGGTGACAGAGTGAGACTCCAACTCAAAAAAAAAAACAAAACTCTGTAAGGCAAAAATCTTATATCAATATGTTCTCTGACCGGCATTTTGGTGGACTAAACACTTTTTTAGAAATATAATTAAGAAAAATTTATAAGACTTTCCTTCTTAAATAAAACTAAATCCAAACCTTGTTTTTGAGAGTTTTCATTATTCAATGAGAATTACCTTTATGTCAAATGGTCCTCTAGGGCAATTAACAATTTCTAACTATTTAACCACTATTTAGCCCAGAGGTGGTCCCTCCCGGAGGGAGGGTGAGGCTGAACTCTCATCCAAATTCAATAAACCTGTATCAGCAACTCGAAGCAAAGCTGTATAAAGTAAATTAGTATGGGTATAAAAATGGAATGAAAGGCAAGCCTCCCCAGTTTATGCTAGATAGAATACATCAGGATCACTTTGCGTTAGCACTGCATTCATATCGTTAAATGTGACATACCCTACGGTGTACTATGGTGAGGACCATTTTTCACCTAGTATAGTAATTGCCTGAAGTTATGCTCGAATGTAACCACAACCTGGGAGACAATTAAGCTATTAGCTTGGATGAAAAGTAACCGTCCTAAGTTCTGAGGAACAAGCAGGAACCTTATAATTTTTCCTTGTAAATGGTGGCAACAAAGCTAAGGCTTCTATCTCCTGCTACATCGTTTCAAGTCCCTTCTGAAAGACGAAGCAACGTAAATTAACCACCATCTCCGCCGCGAGCGTGCAGAAAGGTCCTTTCCACCTCCAGATGCCCTCTCTCCCTCCAGCCCTAGCTCCGTCGCCCTCGGGAACACAGGCCTCAGCTGCGGGCCCAAGCTCCGGCTCTGGGTGTCAGACGTCGGCGCGGCACCCAAAACCCCTATTCAAAAAGACCCCTGCCGGAAGAGGATCAGCGATTTGGCCTTCCACCGAGATTACGATGCAGAACCAGCCACGAAAAGTGGACCAAACAAGCGGAGAGCTCACAGCCAAGAACCGCCTGCAAACGCCTTCCTTAATTTCCAGGGGGCGAGAGCGGTAGTTCGGGTAGGTCATAGAGTTCTCCGGTTCCGGTCTCCGCGCAGCATTCCGGACTAGAGCGCCTCTCTTCCGCCAGCCGTCCCCGAGATTCCGGTGGCTTCTGTTTCCGGCTACGGCTTTTGTCATAAAGCGACACCTCCCTTCAAGCGTGGCGTCGTGGGCCCTCCGCGCTCACCCGGGGTCAGAGAGCAAGACAGGCCCGGGCGTGGGTGCTTGCAGCCGGCAGTTGGAGTCAGTCCTCGCGTCTCGCGCCCGCACTGGCACCTCTGGTTCCTCAGAGCCGGCTGGCTTTGCGCCTCCACGATTGAAGAGGTCCTGGCTCGCAGCTCCGGGACTGAAGCTCCAGAGGACCGCGCTCCTTCGCCCGCACCTGCCCCCGCAGTCACCCTCTACCCTGTGAGGTGCAGCATTTGACAAGTCACTCCTCCGCACATATCACTTCCATCCCTGTCCTAGTGAACTGCGTTCTTCACTTCCTTGAGAGCCCCCATCTCCAGAAGAGGTCTTTTCCCCCCAGCTGAATTTCGCCTGTAAAATTTAGAAGTCTGTAGTTTCGAGTATCATGCAGAAATTTCACCTTTAAGACTGTTCACCCATTTGATAATTCCTTCTCCCAAAGGTCTATGCTTACAAGAGAGTGGGGGAAAGTGAAAGCCAGTACACACTATGGCTGAGCACGGGGCTCACATCACAACTGCTTCTGTGGCGGATGACCAGCCTTCCATCTTTGAGGTGGTAGCACAGGACAGTTTAATGACAGCAGTAAGACCTGCTCTTCAGCATGTGGTCAAGGTAAGGTATTGATTCTCGGAAAGGCTTGAGGGACAACTGAGTGAAAACCAAACCAATAATTTGTGTTTATTTGGTAGCCTAGGATTTGAAATAACCAATTCGCATACAACTCATATCCTGTGACTTAAAGGTTATTGAGTCTCTGTTCTGTGTAGAGCCCTGAACTGAATACCCAGTACTTCTGGGTGAGGACAGATTCCAAAAGTGATTTAAGCCAAAAGTGTTTAGGATTTGGAGGGGAAACGGGAAATGTAAATATAAAGTGTAGTAGTTGTATAATAGAATGAATTCCATGTATTGATTTATTTTGCTTTAGGTTCTTGCAGAATCAAATCCCTCCCACTATGGCTTCTTGTGGAGGTGGTTTGATGAAATCTTTACTCTGCTAGATCTTCTGCTCCAGCAGCATTATCTGTCTAAAACCAGTGCCTCATTTTCTGAAAACTTTTATGGCTTAAAGCGAATTGTAATGGGGGACACTCAAAGGTATCAGAGATTGGCCAGTGCTGGTCTCCCAAAGAAGCAACTTTGGAAATCAATTATGTTCCTCGTTCTTCTTCCCTATCTGAAAGTGAAGCTGGAGAAGCTGGTTTGTAGCCTGAGAGAAGAGGATGAATATTCTATTCATCCCCCTTCTTCCCACTGGAAACGATTTTACAGAGCCTTCCTGGCAGCCTACCCATTTGTTAACATGGCCTGGGAAGGTTGGTTTCTTGTACAACAACTTCAATACATCCTAGGAAAAGCTCAGCATCATTCACCACTGCTGAGGCTGGCTGGAGTTCGGCTAGGTCGACTGACAGTTCAGGATATACAAGCTCTGGAGCATAAACCAGATGAAGCCAGTGTGATGCAGCAGCCTGCGAGGAGGTAAGGCCTTAATTTGTTTTCAAAAATTCTTTGATTAATACAATTCTAAAAGCTTATTCCAATTTTACGAAACTCACCTCCGTGTCTACTTTGTAGTACTTCATAAAGTCATAAAAAAGTTATTGTGTCCATAAATCAAGGACTGTCATTCTGATAACCTTCCTCATACTAGTACTTTTTTTTTTTTTTTGAGTTGGAGTCTCACTCTGTCACCCAGACTGGAGTGCCAGTAGCACGCTCCCGGCCACCTCAGCCTTGACCTGCTGGGCTCTGGCAATCCTTCCGCTTCAGTCTTCCAAGTAGCTGGAACTACAGGCGTGCGCTACCACGCCCGGCTAATTTGTTTTTTTTTTTAATCTATTGTAGAGATGAGGTCTTGCCAAGTTGCCCAGGCAGGTCTTGAACCCACAGTCTCAGGCAATTCACTCACCTCGGCTTCCCAAAGCACAGGATTACAGGCTGAGCCGCCAAGCCTGGCCATACTAGTACATTTTAGTGCACATTTGCTATGTCCTAGGTTCTGTGTTGGGTGCTTGCTTTATGTACATAATCTCAATCCTCACCACAACCCAATGAAGTAAATGTATTACCTTCATTTGACAGTTGAGAACACTAAGCCCTAACAGCTAAGTACCTTGCCAAGGCTACACAGCTACAAGTTGGCAGAGTTGAGACTCAAGCCAGATCAATATAATTCTATTTTATGTATTTATTTATTTATTGAGTTGGAGCCTCACTCTGTCACCCAGGCTGGAATGCAGCCTTGACCTGCTGGGCCCAGGTGATCCTTCTGACTCAGCCTTTCAAGTAGCTGGAACTACAGGCATGCGCCACCATGCCCTGCTAATGTTTTGATTTACTATAGAGATGAGGTCTCCAAGTTTCCCAGGCTGGTCTCAAACCCTTGGCTTAGGCAGTCCTCTCACCTTGGCCTTCCAAAGTGCTGGGATTATAGGCGTGAGCCACCACACCCAGCCCAGATCAATGCAATTCTAAACAATGTACTTAATCATGATGCTGTCCTACTTCCTGTTCATGTTTGTGTTCTCCTACAAGTTCAAATATATATATATATTCCTGAATACTGCTAGGTTTTTTGTTGAGATTTTTTTTTTTTTTTCTGGATGTGCTACTTTCATTTTTTTAAAAATGGGGTCTATATAAACAAATTCTCATCTAATTTCTTTCTCAAAATACAAAACTCTAATTGTTATTAAAAGCAAGGCCTTGCCTGTAATTCCGGCTACTTGGAAGGCTGAGGCGGAAGGATCGCTGGAGCCCAGCAGGTCGAGGCTGCAGTGGCCGGGAGCGGCCACTGCACTCCAGTCTGGGCAACAGAGTGAGACTCCAACTCAAAAAATAAAAAATAAATAAATAAAAGCAAGGCTTGGCTCCTATACTTCTAAAATACTATAAATCAGAAATAGAGAATGATTTAGAATAGATATTTAAGGAGACAGTGCCAACCTAGCAACTATTCAATCCCCCATATCAGTGATTCTGATGAAGTGTAAAAATTAGATTTATATTAGTCATGCTGTGATTATATCTAAGTAAACAGTTTTTCTCTTTGCCTCCTTGTTCTCATTTCTCAACAGTATTAGTGAGAAGATAAAGTCAGCTCTGAAGAAAGCTGTGGGCGGTGCTGCCTTATCCCTCTCTACTGGCCTTTCTGTGGGGGTATTCTTTTTGCAGTTCCTTGACTGGTGGTACTCATCTGAAAATCAAGAAACCATCAAATCATTGACTGCCCTGCCTACTCCACCACCACCTGTACACCTAGACTACAATTCTGATTCTCCCCTCTTACCCAAAATGAAGACCGTGTGCCCACTGTGTCGTAAAACTCGGGTGAACGATACTGTTCTTGCCACCTCTGGCTATGTGTTTTGTTACCGCTGTGTGTTTCATTATGTGAGGAGTCATCAAGCTTGTCCCATCACAGGTTATCCAACAGAAGTACAACATCTGATTAAACTGTACTCCCCTGAGAACTAAAAGGAGCTTGTATCTTCTCTCACAACAAAAGTATTGCACTATAAGGACACGAGGCTGGTTTTGAGCATGGTTTATAGCATTGATACTTCTTAGCCTTAATTCACAACTATATACATTTTAAATTACATGGATTTCTTTAAAGGATATACCCATGAGATTCTAACCTTTTAGCCTGCTTTCTAGACCCCCTACTTACAGCTGACCAAGCTGATTTTAGTAGGAGAATCAGGACTGGCAGGAAATGTGAGGGCCAACATAGAGGAAGTAGATAAAAGATGACAGGCTGGGCACAGTGGCTCATGCCTATAATCCCAGCACTTTGTTAGGCCGAGGTGAGAGGATTGCCCGAGTCCAGGGGTTTCCAAACCAGACTGGGCAACTTGGTGAGACCTCATCTCTACAATAAATCAAAAAAAAAAAAAAAAATTAGCCGGGCATGGTGGCGCATGCCTATAGTTCCAGCTACTTGGAAGGATCACCTGAGCCCAGCAGGTTGAGGCTGCAGTGGCTGTGAACGTGCCACTGCACTCCAGCCTGGGTGACAGAGAGAGACTCCAACTTAAAAAACGATAAAAGAAGACAATTAGTACAGAAGTTTTGTCTAGTCCTTTCCTTAAAGAATAAGAGGTATTGAGGTATACAAGCTCTAAGGAAAAACTTAGAACTCAAAAAAATAAAATGGGTGGTAGGGGGGGTAGCAGCCCTTTTTTTTTTTTTTTTTTTGAGTAGGAGTCTCACTCTGTTGCCCAGGCTGGAGCAGGCTTGACCTGCAATCCCCCTGCCTCAGCCTTCCAAGTAGCTGGAACCACAGGCGCTTGCCACCACGCTGAGCTGATTTTTTTATTTATCCTGGAGAAGAGGTCTCACCATGTTGCCCAGGTCTCAAACCCATGGGCTCAGGCATCCTCTCGTTTCAGCCTCCCAAAGTGCTGGAATTACAGGCGTGAGCCACTGTGCCCAGCTGCAGCCATCTCTTGAAGTGTTTATCCCACTGTGAGGTGTTTTATCGATCTGCAAATGATACTAAACATGACCTGCTCTTTATAGAAATGCTTAAAAACACATTAGAAAAAAAAACAGAGCCTTCCATATACTGTGACCCATTTGTTAAGGGACACTGCTATAGTTTATCAACTTTTAAAGATTCCTTTGAGCCATTCATGTCTTTCTTGGGAAACTGGTTAAAAGTGTATATACAGGGTAGTCTGACAATTTCAGTGTGAAAGCAAAGCTAACAACAAGCAATGAAGAGATGAAGTAACATAATAGACTTTTCTTTTTTACTAAGCTCTGCTTGCTGTTAAGAGTTTGCTAAACTGTGATAAAGTATTCTGGTTATTACTAAAGTTTCTATGAAACATTTAAGAAATCTTTAAGAATATTTCCGGGAAAGAACTTTTATGATTATGTGGAAACTTAATTACTTGAGGTGTTTAAAATAAATTTTTCATTTGATCACCTTGACTTTCTGATGTATTTTTGTACTAACATTTTGCCTTTTTTTTCTTTTCCTAACCCAGTATTTGGAACAAAAATCCTCTGCTCCAACAAGAATTCAGCCTTGTGTGAAATACCTTGTATCAGGGCTACTATAGAACAGAACACTTAAGTTGTAGGAGACTTTGACACTGGATTGGCAGGGTGGTGAAAACATGGGTTAAAAAAAAATACTAGTTGGGCATGGTAGCTCATGCCTGTAATTCTAGCACTTTGGGAGGTGGAAGCTAGAGGATTGCATGAGTCCACAGGTTTGAGACCAGCCTAGGCAACTTGGTGAAATCTTGTCTCTATAATAAATTTTTAAAAATTAGCTGGGTGTGGTGGCGCACGCCTGTGATTCCAGTTACTTGGAAGGCTGAGGGGGAAGGCTCACTCCAGCCTGGGTGACAGAGTGAGATTCTAATAAAAAAAAACAAAAAAAACTAGAAGAGGAAGGATGAAAACAATTTTTAAGTGCCTCTGCTGAGATAGGTGTTTTCTAATGCTTTAACTCCTTTTATCAGTTCAAAGCACATTCTCTGATAATGTAAAGGTGACAAAGCTGAATTCTGAAACAGAATATCCTATGGATTTTAAAATATTAAAACTTTTATGTACCATAAGTATAATGGATATTTTAAAGATTCTTGTTAAACCTCAAAGGCGTTATGAAAACAAATACCATAGTTAATTAAACAAAACATGTTTAATTTAGTAATAAGTCAATAAGAGAATTGAACATGACTCAGGACTGAAATGATATAGTTCATCATGAAGATTTCAAAGCCAGATTTTTCACCTCAACCTAAAAAGGAAAACATGAAAATATTAGAAATTTAAAAGAATATAAAAGAGACAATCTTAAGCATAATAAAACCAGCATCCAAGTAGGTTACAACATACCTGTGTGGAAAACCACAATCAGAATCAGCTCAGAGAGAAGATTAAGGCATCATATCCTGGTCAAAGCCAACAGTAAAAGCAATGGCAATACCAGGTCAGACTGCTTCACTCATCATCGCATCATTGCAGTTCACCTCCTTATATTACCCAAGAGTAGCCCACTGCTCTATTTTCACATCTGAGAAGACTTAGGCTTACTTATGAAAAAAAATAAAGGCTTCTTTTGAGATGTGTCAACCATGGGTTTTCAATCAATATTTCATTTTCCACTATGCTTTTGCCTTAAGCAACTCTGCTACACAAAATGCAAATCTGAAGTTTTTTGGTTTTGTTTTTGAGGAACAAAGATAAATGAAGAAGTATTTACCACTCAAAAACTGTACTTTTCTTCTAATGTGCCCAAACACCACACATGACAAAAATCTCAGGGCTGTTTATAAAGAGATATAGCCTAGTTTTTTTTGTTTGTTTGTTTTGAGACAGGGTTTCACTCTGTGGCCCAGGCTAGAGTGCAGTGGCGCAATCATAGCTCACTTTGATATCAAACTCCAGGCTCAAGCGATCCTCTTGCTTCGACCTCTCACAGCATTGGGATTACAGGCATGAGCCACCACATCTGGCCTTAGCCTAGTTATAAAGCAAAAGCTTTAGAAAAAATTTTCTATTAAATTTCTTTACAAACTCCTGTTCATTTCATACACAAGTTGATTTACAATTCTTCTGCCAACAAAGAGAAAAGGTAAAATCTTCTATCATTTTTTCTTTTTTGAGTTGGAATCTCACTCTATCACCAGGTTGGAGGGCAGTGGCACACTCTCGGCCACCGCAGTCTTGACTTGCTGGGCTGAGGCGATCCTTTGGCTTCAGTCTTCCAAGTAGCTGGAACTACAGGCACATGCCACCATGCCCAGCTAATTTTTTGATTTATTGTAGAGATGAGGTCTTGCCAAGTGCCCAGGCTGATTTTGAACCTGTGGGCTCAGGCAATCCTCTCACCTTGGCCTCCCAAAGTGCTGGGATTATAGGCACGCACCACTGCGCCTGGCTAAATCTTCTAAAGTCTAATCACCCAGAGAAGCTATAGATTGTCAAAGGTCCATAGCAAATTAACAGCAAAACTGGAAAGACAACTGAGGCATGATTACCCGATTTAAATTTTTCAACTAACGGTTAAAGATTTAATTTCATTTTTTCCAGGTTCCTACATTTGGATTTACTAATGAGGGAGGACATGGGCAAGATAAAGAAAGCAAGGCAAAGCATGAGTAATTCACAATCTGAAAATCAATTTCTGAATGAGAAAGGTGACTGCACTTCACTTATTCAAAATGACAACTTCTTGTGGCATATTATCACTGACATGGAAAAGTAACAGGATCACAAAGTCACTCTCCAGAAAGTCAACATAATATTGTCAGTATTTAAATAATTCTGGAGCCACGATATACTTTGTTCAGTCTATGCCATTCCATAAAGAGAGGAAAGTAACTTATGAAGTACCTGTTACACAAGGGCTAAACTTGAACCATTAGCCTATCATCCTCTACAGGTGAAATAGGTACACATTAGAAATAAGGAAACAAGCCCGGCTCAGTGGCTCAGCCTGTAATCCCGTGCCTTTGGGAGGCTGAGGTGAGTGGATTGCCTGAGCCCGCGGGCTCGAGACCCACCAGGGCAGCAAGACCTCATCTCTACAATAAATCAAAAAATCAGCCGGGCGTGGTTGCGCGCACCTGTAATTCCAGCTACTTGGAAGGCTGAGGTGGACGATCGCCGGAGCCCAGCAGGTCGAGGCTGTGGTGGCCGGGAGCGGCCACTGCACTCCAGTCTGGGTGACAGAGTGAGACTCCGACTCAAAAAAAAGAAAAAAAAGAAAGAAAGAAGGAAACAGAGGCTAAGAGAGCTTAATAATTTAAATAACTCTGCTGAAAATCATGAAACTTGGAGCAGAGCCAAGCTATGAACCAATGGGTGCTTGACTCTAATGCCCATGTTCCTTCTACCAGACAATACAGCCATCTCAATGAGTTTTCTGCCTCCAGTTTCCCATTGATTGTACTCTAAATGTTATACACATATTAATCTTAATATACAGAGCTGTGATTATATCATTACAAATATTCAACTGGTCCCCATGGTCTAGGAAATATAGTCCATAGTCCAGAGTACTTTGCTTAGCAATTAAGATGCTTCAAAACTGACCCAACTTTATCCTCAATACACACTATAACCCTAACGTGTACCTTACAATCTAACTAACCCAGACTATTTCTTAGTCCACACACAGGCTCTATTTGACCTTGTGCCTTTCATCTAGAAAATCTGTCTTCCCCTTTGTAGAAAGTCTTACTGTATTTCAAAATCCTACCTTTCCAGTTTGTGACCCTCCAAAATGCCACCTTTTGCATGAAGCCTTTTCCATCAATCCAACAAGAAGTATCTGCCCTTCCTCGTAATTATGGAAGCACATTATACCTGCTTTGTGATACTTATTTCACTGGGGTTTTTTTTTTTTTTTGAGTTGCAGTCTGACTCTGTCACCCAGACTGGAGTGCAGTGGCTGCTCCCAGCCACTGCAGCCTTGACCTGCTGGGCTCCGGCAATACTTCCGCCTCAGCCTTCCAAGTAGCTGGAACTACAGGCACGCGCTACCACACCCGGCTAATTTTTCGTTTATTGTGGAGACGAGGTCTCGCCAAGTTGCCCAGGCGGGTCTCGAACCCGCGGGCTCAGGCAATCCACTCACCTCAGCCTCCCAAGGCGCGGGATTATAGGCTGAGCCACCGAGCCCAGCCACTCTGTATTTTTTAAGATCCAGACAGACATCATAACATGGAATTCAAGATTTTTTTCTTTTTTTTTTTGAGTCGGAGACTCAGTCTGTCACCAAGGCTGGGATGCATTGGCACACTCACGGCCGCCACAGCCTCAACTTGCTGGGCTCAGGCGATCCTTCTGCCTCAGCCTTCCAACTAGCTGGAATTACAGGCATGCACCACCATGCCCAGCTAATTTTTTTATTTATTGTAGAGATGAGGTCTCGCCAAGTTGCCCAGGCTGGTCTCGAACCCAGGGGTTCAAGCAATCCTCTCACCTTGGCCTCCCAAAGTACTGGAATTATAGGCATGAGCCACCACGCCTGGCCCAGAATTCAAGATCTTAAAACGTCTAACCCATGCTTACCTACCAGCCTCATCTTCAACCCCTGGGCAAACCCCCCCATGTGTTCCAGCCGTACAGGGCAGGTATACTTTCCCAGTTCTCTGTCTCAATAAACTTTACTCCATCTGGAGTGCCTTCTCTATTCCTTTCGGAGGGGATAGAAAGCCTAATTACACTTTCAAAACTTTACTCAAATGTCCCCTTCTCTGTTAAGTGTACCTAACTCTTTCTTTCTTTCTTTCTTTCTTTTTTGAGTTGGAGTCTCACTCGGTCGCCCAGACTGGAGTGCAGTGGCCGCTCCCGGCCACCGCAGCCTCGACCTGCCGGGCTCCGGCGATCCTTCCGCCTCAGCCTTCCGAGTAGCCGGAATTACAGGCTCGCGCTACCACGC